TCCTCAATAAAAATATGTTTGGTAATTGCATTTAATGATTGTTTATTTGGCTTTTACGAAACGTGAGAACTAAAAGAAACCACATTTTAAGTTATTGTGGTACCGCGCTGTCGTGCGGACTATTGAAACTTTTTTTCCTTGTGTGTGGCCTTCTGAATAAGGGTACATTTTATATGTCAGTGCGTCTTATATGCCATCAAATACGGTAGTTGACTGAAGATTTGGCGATATCATTGCAATGGAAAACTACCGTTATATCATCTTTACTCCATATTTTTTCACAAAATTCTGTTAATTTGAAAATTGCACCTTTTTTCTTGCGATATCTGAAAATGTTCAAATTTGCTGCTATCATTATTGAAATCACCATAAAATATGGTAGCTGGGGATAAATTATGCCAAGCATTTTTTAAATTACCTGCGAGCCCATTCACCCTTGACCTTACAACAGCAAATTTAATCACGTCAGGAGATTTCAAAAAATTATATTTTTGAAAATTCAAAAATTCTTGAATGATCTTGCCACTGTTCAGAAAAATTTAGTGCAAGTTTTAAAAAGTCTACTTTATAAGTGCATTTCAGTGCACACTGTACTCCGATGTCTGTTGGCTGAATGTTGGACGTACAGTTTGGAGGAAAGACTACGATGAGAAACACCTTTTCACAAAAGCTTTAAGTGAAGTATGAGCCAAATAGTCAGAACAATTTTTGCATTGTGCAGAATATTTTGACTTTAACCAATAACAATCAACCAGTGTCAAATGTTGCTGAGCCTAAGATATGAAAGGATTCTCAGGCCATTTATTCAGTAGTGCTTGCCTCTATATTCGTTATTTGAATGAGAGATGAGTAGGAGAATCTTAATTTTAAATGCTCTAGGTCGTGTATTTTTTTTTTGGTAAAAATATATTTACAGGTGCCCCTTGGCGAAAATTGGTGATTTTTGGCAAGTGCATGGATACCGAGTTTGTGCTATTCTTTGACTTGCTATTTTTGCTTTGTGTAACGGCGATTTTTAGGAAAAAATAACAAGTCAAAAAATTGTACAAACTCGGTATACATCGACCTATTTTCACTTGGAAAAACAAAGAATTGCAAAAACTTGGCATTGCGCACTCCCTTGACTTTGTCCATGCACACATTGATCTATTTTCACTTAAAAAAGTCAAAGGAGCACCCAATTCTACAGTAGAGCCCCCCCCAAAAAAAACAATCTCAGTAAACTACATTTTAAATCAAACAATAAAATAACATAAAAAAAGGAAATTCATTGTATGCATCTAAGCACTACACAAAGCAAATATCCATTTACTTTATTTAGAAATTTTCGAGTCCTTCAGTCTGCGGCACACAAAATTCCTTAACAGCATCAAAAACTTCCTAAAATTATCTCAACTATAATTCATATTAAGATACAATACATTATCTGTATTAAGATACTTGTATATTAAGATACAAGAATCTGTATATGGGCATTGTCACGTAAATTCACAAAAATTAAAGGAAAAAGTATCCTCCGTAGTGTCTATATTTTCCGACATTCAACCATTCGCATTTCCTTCATACAAACAGGACACTTATAATGGCTACAAAGTAAACCTTTCATTTACACACTAGTCAGTCAATGCACTTTTCCCCTTTTGTTCCAAATCGTACAGAAATTCAAATTAATTTTGCCATTCTACCGTCTAAACCACAGTTGCCAACCGGTGGTCCGTGGAAAATTTCTGATGGTCTGCAGAAAAATTAGGATGTAATTTATGTACTTTTTGTGGACATTTTTCACTCATTAATAATTTTCTTTCATTTTTTTATGGTTTTCAGATTCAAATAAAATAGATAATTAGACACATAATAAGTGAGAAAAAGCAAGCGAATATTTTGCCTTTCTTCAACAAAGGACAAAGGAGGGAATAATTAGTGAAATTGGAATTACTTCACGTATCGAGAGGTGATCAGTGAATCAAAGCATCCACATTCCTTGTCACTGTCAGACAGCATTAGAAAGAAAGTGGAAACTAGACACAAAGATAAAAACCCGAAATAACAAGAAAATATGATTCAGACTACTTAAAATTTGGATTTATTCCAGAACCTGGTAGTTAGCTGAATCTACGGCCTTTTTGTATTATCTGTTCTCAGAGTTTATCTAATGATGCCACGAAACCTTCCAAACTCAAAAAACACTTAAAATCAAAACATCCAGATTTAGCTAAGAGACTACTTGAATATTTTCAAATAATGCATGAAAATACGCAAAAATATATAGGTACTTAAAACATGGTTGTTTAAGAGAAGTCACTATCTGATAGCACTTCAAATACTGAAAACCAAAAAAAGCCATATATGGAGAAGGATTATTCAAGCCGTGCGTATTGCAAACTTATGAAGAGGGTTTGGGAAATAAAGCTGTACAGAAACTGAAAGTAATAGTCTTCTAACACCTTAAGCCCAGAATTGATGAAATAACTGGACATCGCTCAGGAGTTGTTGCAAAGGTAAAAAATGTAATCACCCAGACTTTCTCTCTAAACACTGCCTTATACATAGCGAGCATCTTGTACTGAAAAAAATGTCCCCGGTACTACACCAAGTATTATCAGATGTTATAAATATCATAAATGAAATTTATTTGAAACATTTTGTGAAGAAATGGGTTCCAGTATAGTCACCTTCTTCACACTGAGGGGAGATGGCTTTCGAGCTGCAAAATACTGACTCGACTATTTGTCTTGCATGAAGGAATCAAAGTATTTCTCAGCAGCAAAATAATCTGGAATTTTAAGAATTCTTGTCCGACGATTTGAGTGTTTGAGTGGGTAGCCAAGCTTGCATACCTGGCAGATGTTTCCCTCTATTATTAGAATTAAACATATGCAAGGACAACTTAAATATGTGTTTATAGTGCCAGTAAAATAGAGGCTTTTCTAAAAGAATATCACTGTGGCAAATGCTGTAGAAGGAAATCTACAAATGGTTATAAATTTTAATGAAAGTATGGGAGAGAAGGATCACAATGAGCAAGTGGTATCTATTATTCAACAGCACTTACAGTCACTGGCAGAATGTTTTGTTTTTTATTACCTTAAGCAAGAAGATCCTAGACATGGAAATATGTGGATTACATTGTCAATGTCAGCAACACTGAAGACAGCAAATTAGGCATGAATGAAAAAGAAAGCCAGATTGATCTGTTTTGCGAGACAGTTTAAAAACTAAATTCCAGTTATCTTTATCAAAACCTTATTTTTGTCTTTTATAAAAAATTAATGCCCATGACTCAGTGGAAAAGGGATAAAAAATTTAATTTGATTTTCAATAACATATTTGTGCGAAAGGCGCTTTCAATTGTAACAGCAATTAAAACTCGGTATAGGTCTCGGGGTGAAATATATGTGGCTCTTCTTCTTGCAATGATATCACTAGAACCAAAAATCCACAAACTGATTCCAAACAGGAAAAAATATCACACTAAAAACATATAATACTTAAATAAACCTATATTTTTAATTTTTTTTTTTTAATAATTGCTCTATAGCTTAGTTATCTTTGAACATTAATAAAATAAACGGTTTCTGATTATTATTATTATACAAGTGTATTTACCCTTTTTTTTTCTTTTTTTTTTTTTTAAATTCATATTAGTAGTCCGCCAAATAAGAAATTATGCATTTAGCAGTCCATGAAGTTCTAAAGGTTGGTGACCGCTGGTCTAAACCACAAATCAAGCAATGTACTTCCTAACCAACACACAAACACTTACAAATATTTTCCCCTTCATTCAGAATTTGCACCTCATTGGGACTGGAACGTGGACCTCTTGAATATACACCGAGTGTGCTACCATTACACCACAAAGGCATGGAGAAAATACCTTATATATTTCACCTTTTGAAGTACGACTGGGGATAAGGGGACCCAATTGCCGCATCCTAGTGGTTAAGAATCATCATCCACCACCTTTTAGTTTGGGTGCCACTGTAGAGTCATTAGGTTTTTTGAAGCAAAAGACATGAAAAATGAGCAGTGCCCTTGCCAGGACTCGAACCTGAACCTCTCGAATATGCACTACTGTTATACCACCAAGGCGTACAGAAAGGAGAAAGAAAATATTTTATAATATACGAGTTAAAAATGTTATGTGATATTATCACAAATTAAGTGAAAGAGAAATTTTGCTTTATTTCTCAATATTTGGCAATTTCTCTCCTTGAAGCTACAAAATTCCAAGAGTACAAGAAAAAGTTCTACATTTTGTTCTGAAATCATCCACTTTGTCTTCATGTCAACCATTAGCAACAAAGATCCCATTTTTTTGTATTGCTTGTGGGGGTTACACTTTGAGACATCATCCTCCACATTATGGTTATAATGAAGGAAACATCACATGAGTTTTGTGACAGCCAAAACACAAAATGTCTTCTATATACATCCATATGATGGATGCAATGCTGTCTCGGCAGTTTGAATGAATCTGCATAACTCCCACATAGCACATGTCATTTAAAGCTTTATTGGTTACCCATTGCAAAAATACCGAGTTCTCATTCTTTTGTATAATTTGTTTTAATGTAATAAAGTTTTGTATTATTACAGTTTTAAATGGTATGCTTCATCCCCCCCCCCCGATTATATTTGTCTACTTATTTTTCTAAGAGCGAACAGGAGTTGAAAAAAGATGTAGTTTTCTCTGTGGAATAAGCTAAAAAGTTTTTCTTTTAAGTAAAAAATAGTGCAGCAGTTAGAAAAATAGAATGATTATTTTATTTATTTATCTTTTACTTTGAACTTATATCCCCTCCCCCCAAAAAAACCCATGCATTCTGAGACATTATATACTATAGAAAAGTTTTATTTGAGATGTGAATATTATTTTAATACAAATTGTCAGCTTTCCAAAGTTTTTGTCTAACATTTAATAGTTTTTCATCACATCTAATGTAAGATCTATGTATTTATTTCATAAAATTAAAATATCATTCCTTTATTTTCCCTCTCAGAAATATACCAAATTCATCTCTTTTTAAGCTCAGAAAGAATATGAATTGGTTTGGTGGTTCCGTGGCTGATGCTGTTAATGAAGCAAAAAGAAATGGCAAATTGTTTTTAGTATATATTGAAGGTTTGTACTGTTTCTGTTTTAAAAAAATTTTTTTTAATATGTAGTCTAATAACTTACTGAAAAGATAGGTGTATAAAAGATTTTTGCTTATTTTATATGCAAATAATAAAATATTTCAGCATTTGAAATGGGTAATAAATTATGTATATGTAGTATATTAATTAATGATAGTTTCATTTCAATGTGCTGTTTTATTAATTTAAATTCATTTCATGTTTAAGTTGAACTTAAATTTATTGATTATGAATTTTAAAAGGCTGGAAGTCCAAGTTAAAAATTAAATTAAGAATTTTATTGTTGCTATGTGTAGCTGCTCAGATATTTATTGAGTAGATACTACTCAAAAATCTCCTCAGTTGATTTTAAAATATGCTTGCTATAATCAAAAGTATATGCGTAAAACTTTAGCTGCTCCAACTGCACATTAAAAGAAAGCTCAAGCACATAATTAAAGAAAGTGAACTATCTTTTTTGAAAACTTTCATTAATATAAATTTGTTGACTATGTAACTATAGTTTTATGTTTGGGGAGGAGAGGGAAATCAGTAGAAAAAGATGTGCAAAATATTTATTTTCATATAATCATGCATCCAATTACAAATTATTGATTATCACAGAAATTCTAAATGTTGGATGGAATAATATAAAATTTGTGGAAATGAATTCTTTGATGTGATGAATTGCATTTCACTAGCTTGCAGTCTGAGGTTGAGTACTGCTATCAAATAGCTGAAGACCATTGAAAAAAGTTGATGAATGAAATAGCAGAATTTTTTTAATAATAATTATTATTTAATTTCTGCTGTTAATCATTTAAATGCTGAGAGCTATAAAAACATGTTTTTATGTATTATTGCAACCAGTGGCGTAACTAGAAATCTTGGGGTCCCTATGCAAAAAATGTTCCTGCCCTCAATAAATTTACTGCGCTTAAAATAAATCAAGTAATCCAAGAGCCAATGTTTTGATGATGATCTTTTTATCAGATCTGGAGTAATTGTTAAAAAATAAAAGCACATACTAAGGAACTAGTTAGGTGTGTAACATGAAGAAACAATAAAAAGGAAAATATTTTCCCTCTACCAGTTGTGAAGTGCAAATTTACTTTAGTCTGAGTTTAATATTTAATATCATATGATTTTTAATCAGTGTATTTAAGATTTTTTGTGTGCATCAGTGTGAGAGACGACACATTTTTCTCTTCTTTCACTGAGATACATACTGATAACAAATGATAAGTCTATATATATATATATAAAAAGAACATGTCTGTAAAGTATAGCATTAAGAAAAGGAATAAAGGCTAGATTTGCAGAGATTTTAAATGAAATCCAGTAGGTTTTACATACAAATATATTTTGAGTTTTTATATAAAATCTGCACCAATCTAAGTTTTTTTCACTTAATTTAGCAAACTCATACATAACTGGTTATGTTATAAACTGACAGATAACTTAAGAGGTAAGCATATGAAAAAGAAATTACGCTAATATATAGTGCTCTCGAATTTACTCAGCTTACGAACATGATTTATGCAATAATATTTAAGTAATAAATAAGAACTTAAATAATCTAAATGATACATTTGTTAAATATAAAACATTTATCATAGATGTCATAAAGAAAACTATTTCAACATACAATTTTTGTAGAAAATATGTATGGTAAAGTTTTTTTCTATCTCTTTAAACAATTTTTTGATACACTAAACTACTTGAATGCATGACTTTTACAAAAGGTATGTACAGTAAGTTTTTTAGTCCAAAGGGGCAGTTTGCCCTGAAGTACTATTAATTTCGTTTTGGCATTTTGCATTGAAAAATTTAAAAGGCTGTATCACTTTTGAAATCATTGCCACCATATATTAACGCCCTGTCTTATATTTAAAGAAATTAAATAATGAAGAATCTGTATAAATGTATATGTTTCTCACATTGTTATAAAGCAGCAGTACCTAGAGCCATCAAAATTTTAATAACGTAATCTTCCATAGAATATGGGCATGTGAAAGCCTTAATTTTAATTTGAAATTTGTTTTATTATCGATTTCATATTTTGTAACACTTCAACAAATTTTTGATTAAAAAATTAAACGATTTCAAAATGAGCAATGGCAACACTGTAATAAAAAAAACTACTTTTCCATTTCGGCGGAGCAAATCTCGCCAAGCAGACTTTATTGGCGACAACATACAGTATACACATAAAAAATTTTAACAAATGTTAGTTCTAAGATTTTTTTTTTATTTTGAAGGCATAAACATTTTAAAATTATTTTAAAATTTGTAAAAAGACATCAGTTTAAGAATTTACTATGTTTTCATGGTTCAACATCCTGATTTGCCATTTCATATTACGTGATCCCAAGTGATCTCATCTCAGGTAAACTGCACTACAAAATCAAATTCTCTCAGTAATTATCTACATTTATTTCAAGTTAAATCTTGATTTGGAATGCAAGTTTAAATGCAAGAATTATTTCAATTCATGCGAATAGTTTACTCAGAAATTATGTAAAACCGCAGTGCTTTACTTCGCTAGTGCATTCTAATTAGAATGGATGAATTTAACCCTTGACTTTGCCTTTCCTATATTTTCGCTTTTGGATGAGCGGTGTGATTGCATCCTAATTGACTTAATTATCGCGAAAGGCCGTAAGGCATAAAATTGAAAATCTGGTAAAAATTCTATCTGATTGTATGCCAGTATTGAAAGAAACAATCAATCTGATAAGAAATGGCTGTGACTTGTTTTGAAAATGAGGTATAGAAGGTTACCAGTGAGGATGTTCCATTTGGAATCAGTTGTACCATTATTGGCGACTTTATCGCCTGCGCCGGTAAAACGGAAAAGTACCAAAAAAAAATTATCTCCAGCACGCGAGACTCTGTATCGGAAATTCTAAAGATATGCTCATTTTAAAATTAATTTGCGATATTGTTGGGGAACTGAATTTTATAGTAATAATATAATGTAATGGCATACAATAGAATCTGTCTTTGTTAAATTAAGTTTAAACATGTAAATGTAGTTCAGTAGAACATACAAGGGCCCCTATGCGACGGCGTTCCTTGCATACCCATATTTACACCACCGATCGTAACCACATTAATAGAAGTTCTAAAACTCTGGCAACCATGTGCATAACATTACCTTAAGTAACCATATCCATTGTAAGTTGCAATCCAAACATTTACTAAATATTTTTTTTTCTTCTGTAAATAATCACCAAATTGCACCAAGGTGGTTACACTAATACGTAAGTACCAAAAATACTTCGTGTTCCCAACTTGATTGCAGTGATTTAGTAAAGAATCTTGCATATATCAGTTTGGTAAGACAGGTGTTAAGACTGGCCTTACTTCAGTTCAATGAAATTTATTTATAAAAAACTAGAGCGTTGATTATTTTATTATAAGGAATTTCTTTTGTTAACTCTTATAAGCAGTTTCGATAACCCAGTTTGTACAGCAGTGTTTTAAAACTAGGAATTTAAAAGTGAATGGTAAAACCTATTTAGTTCAAATGTAAGACATTATTTATATAATGAACTGCTAGTAGCCACTGCATGATATGTAACTTGTTTAATCAGTTTCGAAGAATAGATTATTTGTCTTGTACACTGAGTAAATTGAAGATCTGTAGGCTACAGCTATTTTATAAGACTGATATTTTGCAGGTAAATTACTGAAACAGGATATTTATTGACTGCTGATCTTCTCTTGTAGTATTAAAAAAAATCATGTTATATCTCCTGAATTGTATTATCAAGTATAGTTTATCAATGAATGTTCTTATGTTTTTTTTTTTAGGTACTGATGATATGTCGAAGCAAATGAGTGCTTCATATGATGATCCAGTAGTAGCTCAAAAATTATCAACTGAAAATATTATAGCCTTGAAACTTGTTCCCGATAGGTATTTTATTTTTTACTTTAAAGAGCTGTATGCAGTAGTTTAGATATTAATTTGTTTTGGATTCATAGCTTGCAGCTGTAAAGCTATTTGATTTTCAAACTTCTGATGAAATAGTTTCTGCTGGGGGAAAAGCTATCTGCTGTGTGACATTTGGAGAGAAATTGAGTGATATTTGTTAATTACAGGTAATTGAATGAGGGTTTTTTTTGTCTAAAGAGGGGAATATTTTGTAGATGATTTTCTGAGAGAATTTAGTTTGTACACTCTTTTGCAAAAATTCGAAGCACCAAGAAGGATTTTTGCAATCATGACAGAATTTGGTATGCAAAAACATCTTGATCGAACATGCAAATTATCAAAGTTTCTAGGCAAATGAACAGGAATGGCGCAGTTTGCAAAGTATAAAACCAGTGACAGAGATGGAAAATTTATCTTTTTTTGTTGCTGCCATTGTAATTCCGTAAAGAAGCAACTAAAGATGCCATTACGACATTATCAAAGATCTTGCAGACAACTAAATGGTTGCATTGTAGGGTTGTGTGAAGCTGGGTGGTCATATCAAGCAATAGGCCGCCACATGCAGTGTACAGACACTGCTTTGCAAAGATGTTGGCAGCAATGATTGCTGCAAGGAAATTGCTGATGAAATGAAGGCTCTGGAAGGCCAAGGAGCACAAGTGAGGCCTTTAAGACATTTGCCTTTGACCCCCACAACATCGGCGGAGTCGCCTGGAGTGTTATCGCAGCCGATCATGATGGCTGCCGTCAGACTGGCATCCTATAGTGTTCAGCGATGAATCCCGCTTCACTCTTGAAGCAGATGACCACCGTGTTCGTGTCTGAAGAGGACGGGGCCAGCGGTCCCAATCAGCCTTTGTTTTTACAAAGCTATACATCCGTAACCCCAGGTATTATGGTGTGAGGTGCTGTTTCTTATGACAGCAGGTCATCTCCGTACATCTTTAAACAAAACAACAGCTTTTTTTTTCAATATATGTTAATGTCATCCTGCGGCCGGTTGCATTTTATGCGGATACTCTTCTTTTGCCAGCGAGGTCACCAGACCTTTCACCAATCGAGCATGTGTGGAGCATAGTAGGCCGCCAGATTCGGGCACCACAAAATATTGCAAATCTGGAGTGACAACTGAGGAAAGCCTGACAGAATGTGTCGTGTCGGTTTGACCAACTACTAATTTGAACACTCAATTGGTGATTGTAAGCCGTGAACAGGTACGATGACCTTGATTTTTTAATCATTTTATTATCTGTGTATGAGCTATACACACATTCAATTTCATCAAAAACAACCACTTTCTTCATGGTGCTTCGGTTTTTTTTTTTTTTTTTTTTTTTTTTTTTTTTTTTTTTTTGTGCAAAAGTGTATTTATATTAGCTATGTAGAAAAACATATATAGCCAGCTTGTATATTTGCTGAAATTGACACAGTTATCTGTTTCTTGGCTAAGCTTTTGGTCACGGATGGAGCAACGGCAGAAGAACTAATCTTTATGAGAGTGAATATATGAATTCATATTACAGTACAAAGTCTTTAATCTGGACTCGTCAGGATATCGGCGATTCCGGATTAGGGTTTTTTCCGGATTATAGATCATCAATTTAAGATGGCATGCAGAAATTATAAAATTAAAAAATACCCTTAAAAATTACCACTACGTATTAAAGCGAGTTATTGCCTTTCATTAATACTCACTGTGGTCACAAGATAAAATACAAAAATGTAAAAATTCAAATAAAACTTATTCTTTGCACCTACTGAGACTTAAAATAATAAAAAACAACTTATAACCTCTGGTGCTTTAATGGCTTATTGGAACCTTAAAGTATATTAACTGGGTTACAACTCCTGGAACTCTACACGAAGCTACGACACTAACTACATCAAACAGAGCCTGACTAACTTTCAACGCTTGTCAACCGTGCCTACATCAAGCCTTTCAGGTTTGTTCTAATCAGCAGGTCTGTCTCTAGAAAAGCAGCAGTGGTGACAACATCCAGTCTTTTGTTATGAATCATGCTGATTATGATCTTACTTCTCATTTTAACCTATGTCGTTTGACATAAAAATCTACCTGCTATTTACTAAACCTCTAGAGACTGATCAAGTATGTGACAAAATGAGACATAAAAAAAAAATCAATATAAAGCTAACTGTTAGTAAAAGGTAAAACTTACTTATCTTCTTTCAAATATGACCAACTATTATAAGTGTAAAATATTTAATGCTACTTGATAAATTACATAAAGTTTATTTTATTCTCAAAGTTATTAATAGTTATGTTAATTAATTCATAATAATTAATTAATTCATTAAGTAATAATGCATACTACTTAGGGATCTATTTTATTTTTAGGATGGTATTACAAAAGTGAAATTCAGGCACAGATAATATTTTTAATTGAATTTATGCAGTTCCCATTTGCTCATAGGTCCTTAATTTTTTTCATTAATGATCCTTAAAAGTACTTAATTTCTATGTGCAGAAATGTGTACAAACCCTGTGTTTTTTTTTTTTGTTCAGTAATGTTGTTCAGTGTGAAATGCTATACTATCTATATCTGTATCAGCTTATTGTGTAAAATGTTGGAAAATATGTGTAAAATGCTATACTTTACTGTTAAAAATACATATTAAAATTCTTTCACTATCCAGTAGACAGTGACTTTATTGTTAGTCACTGTCTGTGGGGTGTTTTTGAAAATGCTTGTAATATTAGTGATTTGAAATTTCATGTACTTTATGTATTACGAATTCTTGGTAATAAAGATGTATGTTTTTTTTAATAGTGTGCCATATATCCAATTTTCTTCAATATGTATCCTTAAGTAGTTGCTGTTTTAATGCAGTTTAGCATCTTGTTGATTTTATATAAATTTTTGCTATCTTCACCCTTTTTTTTTATTTGCATATTTTTATATCTCAATAAAGAGGTGTTATGTTTTTTGCTATGTCACTGTGCTGCTATAAGCAGCAGAGCGTTGTGTGATTAGTTTTCTTAATAAGACTTAGATCCAGTGTTGGTTATACCTTCTTCTTATTTCATTGGTGTAAATGGAGCTCCTATTGAAGTGATTACTGGAAGTTTGCTTCCAGCAGATTTTTCTGTTAAAATTGATAAGGTACTTGAGGTAAGTTAGATTGATTTTCTTAAATGATTAAAAGAATATTTACCTATTATTTATTTTGATTGAATTCATTAGTTTTAAGGATTCATACACCGAATGGCCATTACGTTATGACTACCCTGTTAATAACATGTAAGACCAACTTTAGCCCTCAAAACTGCCAGCACCCGGCGTGGCATTGACTGACTGATAAGGTGCTAATAGAGTAGTCTGAGGTATCTGGTACCAAGTGTTCACCAACTGGTCTTGCAATTCCTGCACATTGTGAGGTGGTAGCGTTGCAGCATGAACTTGGTTTTCCAGGTGGAAATATAAATGCTCTAGTGGATTTTAATGTCAGGTGAATTCGGAGGCCAAGATGTGACTTAAAAGTCTCTGGAAGTTCCTCGAACTTTCCCTGACGATTCAACCCTTATGACATGATGCATTATACTGTTGGTAAACACCTCCCCCGCGAGAAATACCATTGTCATGAATGGGTGAACCTGGTTTGCAACAACGTTTATGTAGTACAGAGACGTCAGAGATTGTTTCGTAAAGATTATGGGTCCTATAGTGCTCCACGAAAACATTCTCCACACCATAATATCCCCGTCGATGGCTTGTGTTCGTCCAACTGTGTATGCGGGAGCCAGTATTTTGTTTGGGAATTGAAGTATTGCCACATGCCCATCAAAAAATACGATTCGTCGAACCAGGCAACTTTCTTCCATTCTTCTAATGTATAATTTGGATGTTTCTAGGCCCATTACAGATGCAGCTGGTGATCATGTTCCGTCAGTGCAGGGACATGTTTCGGCCTCCGGCTGCATAGGCCCATATGCATCAATATATGCTGCATAGTGTGTTGAGAAACACTGTGGGAGCTGGTGGTGATTTTGACTGTTGTAGCTCTTTAGTCATGGCAAATAATGCATAGCAATCTTACTTTCCTCTGGAATCAATGTGCCATTGACGACACGCTACTTTGCTTTTCACCATCCATACACCACGTTTGATATGTGCACGTGAACAGCCCACTAAACATTCCGTTTCTGATATTGGTGTTCCCAGTTGCCAAGCCATAACAATTTGACCTTTATCAAAGTCTGATAAATTAGATGCTTTTCCCATTATGTCGCTAATCGCGCTGTTTGGAAAGACAACGCATAGCCACTTTATATACTGCAACATCAGCTGCACACGCTCAGTGGTTTTGTTCCTGGGCAAGCTCGTTGTTATAAATGAAGGGTGGTCATAATGTAATGGCTCTTTGGTATATATTCTGATATAATTTATATATGGCTGTTAAATTCTTTTATGATATAAAAACCTCTTCAAAGCATATAAATTGTCGTAGAAAATACAAGTTTGTGTAAGCAACTATTTCGGGTTGAACTGATTATTTTTAATGATTCATATATTCTAATATAATTTATATATGGCTGTTAAAAGTCTTTTTCATATAAAAACTTCTTTAAAAATGTATAAATTGCCATAGGAAATATAACTTTGTGTAAGCAAAAGATCACTGGTTTCTGCTTTGAAATTCTTAATGACTTTTTGCTGCAGGATTGCCAACTGACTAATTCATACTAGTATGGAAACAGTGATTATTTGGTCCTCAAATTGTTAGTAACATTGTAATTCTTCAAAGTAACCTGTTGCTACAATTAAGTGGCTTGCATTTTTTTATTACTATAAATAGTGATCAAAGGAAATTCTTTATTGCCTATCCGGAAAGCATTGAAATAAATAATTACCCCCCCCCCCCCGGTCATTGCTAACATAGAAATTCCATTGAATACATACATAATTCTACTACACTTTCTAATTTGTTCGGCATTTGAAATTTTTCTTTTGTTATAGCATTTTATATGTTAAACTGTTTGGGTCTTATCCCAATAATCACACTATAATAAGTATGCTGGTTTGTTACTTTATTAATTCCCATAATTAAATTATAATCACTCATTATCAACTCATAATTGTGACCAGCCCTCATTCACCGCAGGTGGCAATTCTCATACTCGTCTGAACATAGCATTACAGATGAGCGGATTACATTACAGGTGCGCAGGTGCGAACATGCTGTCCCGCGTTGCAATGTGTAGCATTCAACTATTGTAATTAAGATATAATATAAAGAAATTTAAACAAGTATATTATGAACAATTTTGAATAATCATATTACTTAAAATCATTATTATAATTAGACATTTACCATATACATCAGCGTATAACTCAAAACAATGCAATATAACATTTCAGTTACATAATGACATTTTATGTGAATCACATTCAATACTACACAATAACAATAAAGACAATACTCATTTTTGTATTGGTAAGACGCATAATTTGGTAATTGGTCGTTTGAAAGTTCCAGTTTGAGTTTTTACATTGCACGTGAACCTTTCCATCTTTACCATAAAATACTTCTATTATACGACCAACTGCCCAATTACAACAAGGCAAATTATCTTTAATTGAGACCATGTCTCCAACTTGTGTATCATTTTTAGAGCTTTGCCATTTAAATTGATTTTGTGAATTACTTAAATAATTGGAGTTCAATTTTTTCTAGATAATTTGTACTAATCTTGAGATCTGTTGCCACAGTTTTAACCTGTTAATGTTAACTTGTGTGATACCTGGCTCAGGAATCAAATTAATTGCTCAACCAATTAAAAAAATGCCCAGGTGTTAGAACTTATTAATCATTAATGCCGGAAGGCAAGGTTGTCAATGGTCGGGAATTTAAAAATCCTTCAATCTGAATCATAACTGTTAAAAATTGTTCAGAGGTCAATTTTGCATTACCTATGACACATTTGAAGTGGCACTTAAAAGATTTAACTCCAGCCTCCCAGGGGCCTCCAAAATTGGTTGCTCTGGGAGGGAGAAATTTCCATTTGAGCTCAAATAACTAGCTAAAAGCTCATCTTGTTCGTTCACTAGTTTATTTAGCCTCTTTAATTTTGTATTTGCACCTTCAAAATTAGTAGCGTTATCACTAAATAGTGTTGAATTTTTACCTCTTCGTGCAAAGAAACGTTTCAAGGTATTAATGCTTCAGATGTTAGGTCTGTTATCAGTTCTAAATGAATGTCCTTAGTAACCATACAAATGAATATACACACATAAACTTTCTGATATATACCTTTTCTCTGGTTTTTGTACTTAATTAAGAATGGGCCACAGAGGTCAACTCCAGTACAATTAAATGTAAGATTAGCTGTAATTCTTTCCTTGGGTAACTCACCCATGATTTGCTGAGCTACAATGGGATTAGCTTTAAAACGTGTTATACAATTTTTCTACCATTTACAATCCAAAATTTTTGTCCTATATGATAAAACAAAGATTGAGGACCCACATGCAAATATTTTAAATGATAGTAATTAACTAAACTCTGTTAATTTATGTTTAGAAGGCAGAATAATAGGAAATTTTTTTCTCGTAAGTTAAATTGCTATTTCTTAATCTACCTCCAACTGTCAACAGTCATTTACTGTCAATGAAAGGGTTAAGATTTTTAATAGAACTTTCTCTTGTAACAATACCTGATTTTTTAAGACATTTATCATTTATAAATACCACCTTGCACTAATTTTAATAAAGCTTCTTCAGCTGCTCTCAATTCTCCCACTTGTAAATTACCTACCTTCTTTTGCTCTTACTTATAATTCTTATAAAACCTAAAACAAAAAATTATAAAATAAATTAATTTTATTCAATAAATCATTAACAAAATTATTCACATTTAGATTTAAACATGTGGATAGTTCAGAATCAGCAAAGTTTTTAAGTTCATTACTGTCCTTTTCAGTAATTGCTTCAGGTATAACTCTCATAGGGTACTCATCCTTCATTAAGAAGTTGGGCCCGTTCAACCACAGTTGACTTAGTTGCAGTCTTTTGGCAGCCATACCTCTAGATATGAGATCTGATGGGTTTTCTTCAGAAGCGATATGATGTCACTGTGCAACTTCAGTCGGATCTTGTATCTTTGAAATCCGGTTTGCTACAAATGTCTTGAGCAGATGTGGCTCTTTCTTGATCCATGACAGCACAATCATAGAATCGGTCCAAAGGTGAATAGCAGTAAGCTCCAATTTTAACGATAATTTCACTTGATGCATTAGTTTAGCTAATAGCACTGCTGCGCAAAGCTGAAGTCTTGGGATTGTAGTCTTCTTTAGGGGGGAGGCACACGATTTACTGCACACCAACCCTACTGATGTATGGTTTGTTGCTGATGTGGCTTTATAGTAGATAACTGTTCCATAGGCGGCCTCTGAGGCATCAGGGAAACCATGTAACTCAATCTTGATTGTATCTGGTAATAAAATACATCTATGGACTACAATGTTGTTAATTATTGCAAGGTAGTGAAGAATTCTTTCCATTCTTTAGCCTCCCTTTCTGGCAGAACATCATTCCAGTTCAATTTTAATAGCCATAATTTATGCATAAATATTTTTGCTATAATTATAACTGGAAACTATTCACAATGAGTCAAAGATGCAAGATATGACGGATAAAACTTGCCGTTTCGTAACCTTTACATTGTCTTCGATTTTAACATAGAAGCTCAAACAATCTCTTTTTGACTTCCATTAAAATACCCAATGCTTTAGATTCTTCTGATTTACCAAAGGGATATATTTTGTCGTTTGTTTGACACAGTTTAGTAGCATTACTACACCACTTATGGAGTAACATACCTCCAGTATTCAAAATGCCTTTTAACTGATTTTGAAGTTCTAATGCAGAATCTAGGAACTCAATTCCAGATAGAGTATTGTCCATGTACATGTCTTCTGTCTCAGGTGCTGCTAAAGGAAATTTATCTCCTTCGTCCTTTGACAGCTGTACAAGTGTCCTCATTGCTAAAAATGGTGCACTCACAGTACCATAGGTAACGGTGGTTAGCTCAAAGGTTTTAACTGGCTCATCAATGCCTTCTTTCCATAAAATCCTTTGCAACTTCCACTGATTTGGATGGATAGAAATAGCTC